CAGACCTATTTGTGATATTCTATATCTGTCTGTGTAAGAAATGGCTATAAGTTTTTTTCCGACCAATCCTTTCTCATTTTACTAGAAAACATAATGGAGATCCTAAAATCGGAACGAACAACTCGTGTCATGAAGACGATAATGCGCACAGAGGATGCCAAACCTAAAATTAGTCTAACAGTATTCGAGAATTTCTAAAAGTTGGCCGAGGTCTAGAGAGGTCGGAGCAGAAGTGCGTTATTACCGAGGCGGTCATTTGGTTCTTATGAAGATGAATGCTTTTTTAGCAGCAATTTGCTAGGAAACGTGAGCTGAAGATGGAACCAGTGGCTATTCAACTGGATCCGTCATTATCACTTCGAATCTTTCCTCCACCTACACATTGCAGATTCTCTTCGGCCATCTCTACTGGCACAGAAATTTAGCAGCGATGAATCTTAGGATACGAGCTCTCAATTTTTTCTGTTATTATTTACAGAACGGTAATGGTCCTCCATTACCGTTCTGTAAATTCTCTACCGAAATATTTCCATCGTGCGGCTTGTTTTCCGGTATACTTCGGAATATTAAATTGTATTAAGTGAAGAAAGAAAGGCGTAACACAGCCAGAATAACAGACTTTTAATGATGTAAAAAATACAAGGTCGATACTTAACTTTTCTAAAGTGAAATGTGCATTACAATTTTCCTCTTTTAGGAAATCTTCCTGTCAAGGTTGGCAACTAGATTTTTAAAGAATTTTCTAATTCGTACTTTAAAATTCACTTTGTTATATCCTGTTTTTTCTTGTCCAATTTTCATTTTTATCATATAAAACGCTAAATTTAATTTGACTGAGTACTTATTAAATGCTTTATCTCTAATAATTTCTTTGCATTCATTCATATTAAACACGTGTTAGAGTCGTTTCGAATTTGAAACATTATCAAAATTTAGATGCAACAATAAACATTACTGTTTTCGTGAAAAATGTAGAATAAATTAATTTGTTTCAAATTTTATTCGCCCAAAGTGTGTTATTATATTATAAATTTAAACAAAAATCGCTATTAATTCTTAAATTTCTATTGCACTCTCGCGTTTAAAATATTATTTGTAATTTAATAACATAGAAAATTATATTTTTGTGCAACTTTTATATTTAATTATTTGACAGGTGTCAACAATTAAATTAAATCAATTGGCATTTAATTACTCAAATTTTCGTTAAAAGTAATAGGAAAAATAATTTTAGTGATTATTGCTTACTATATTTGCAGAATTATCACGAAATTATTTCGTGTAGGGATGTTACTTTATTAATGACAAGTTAATGTAAAGTCTAGATATAAGCCCGATAAAATGCCAAGTCAACAAACCATACAGATGAGTAAGAATAATCTCTTTCCTCATAACTGTCTCGTCTCTTTAGTAGATCCAATTTTAAACGGTTTACAAAGTGATTTAAATGGACCAGAGGAGATATTTTTTACACTGTTGGTCTGTAAAATCGTCGGTGGGTTGGCCTTAAACGCACCATCAACACACTTAATAGTTCCATACGATGCTTGTCATCAAGATAGTTGGCAGATAAGGAGGACGTAATGGATAAATCACCCACTTTGCCTGTCTCTTTGTTAGGCCTAGCTAAATTTAATGGAGGTGGCCGTTGTATGATTTTGATGGAGAATTATCAAAGGCCGAGAAGTAACAATTACATCTATGCTGATTTTACAGCAAGAATAAACAAATTCCATTAATCTTTCTGCTTTGAAATTTAAATATGAGTTAGAAAACCATTTCATCAAGATGAAGATAATGATCTTAATTTTTTTTTCTTTTTATAAAAAGATGCGGGAGCTGTAAATTAAACTGGGCTTGTCTCATTTACATCTAAAGCTGTTGAATTTATAAATTTATGAGGAAAAAAGTTACAGGTTTATTATCTCTCTACTAATTTGTGGAGTCGATGTGATTTCTAATTTTTCCAAAATTACTTGATTTCAAATGTCAGAAATACTGATAAAAGTATTAATGTAATTTATTGACGTACCCTCATAAAAAATATTTAATCCTTAACAAATATTTACGATTTACTTAAAAATGTTTTAAATTAAAACGAAATCTTAAAAATGAAGATTAATTATTTTCACACATAAATATAATTTCATGCTTATTTATAAATTTTTACAACTGTAATTACAGTCAAGTTTATTATTCTAACAAACAAATAAAACGAGTCATTCATAATCACGATTTAATTATAATAGAAAACCGTTCCGAATCACGGAACAAAACTAGTTCAAATTAGAAGTAAACTAGTGAATGGAGAATATCGGTCATTCAACAATCTTGTAATTAAACTTTCAAACTTAAGTTTGACGCTTGACCCATTATCACGACCCTTAACAAGTAGTTATTTCTGTGTATTATCCTCTAGGCGTTTCATGATTTTCAAAAATATCTACCCGTTTTCGACCAAGAGATAGTGTGGGAGAATCCTAGATGCGAGAAATCCCATCTTTTATTGTACTTGATCTTTAGCACTTGCTCTAAAATAATCTAATGTTACCATCTTTCCTTATATTAATTTAAACTGGAATGTAAATTAGATTATAGTCCGATGTTAGAATGCTTAACATCTAACATTTCGGTAATTTTCTTTTATAATCATGTAATTATGAAATTATGCACATTGTTGCACGAAATTACAGGTAAAATTTTCTTTTTTAATTACATTACAAACTTAATTATTTCAATATAATTAATTCAAATTTGATTAATCTTATTAAATTATATAAAATAGATTCAAATTAATTTATACAAGATTAATTTATATTAAGTCTTCATAAGTAAGTTACACTAAAATGTCCAATTTTTAAAAATGTTTTTAAAGTTTTTCTTGTTTTTAAATTTTATAAAAACAATGCCTTATATTTGTAAATTCGAAAATATTTTTTTGACATACTTAAAATGAGCGAACGATGAAGAATTGCGCTGAAAATTATCTACAAATCGACAATTTAGAAATAACATTATAATTGATGGTGTCACAGACCTATTTGTGATAAAAATTT